AAAAACGAAAAGTTGTGTTTAATGTACTTTGGATAATAAAGTAAATCATAAAAAATGAATAATAATTTTAAAATTTTTTGAATAAGACGAGTGGTCAAACAGTGCAAGCAAAGACTCAAAATCCCTTATATTATGGGACGGTGGGAGTAGTTGATCCGTTGATTGAGTCCGCGTATCGCCGTGCAAAGCATGCGATCGGCTAACTTCAAAGAAAGGTGCCGGTAAATTGCCAGCAGCAGCAGCAGCGTGTCCAGGCCTTCCTTTCTGACTTTTAACTGCAGCTTCCTAGTCAAACGACAATACTCTAGTACGGAGTACTTCATAAGAAAGTTTTTTTTTATTTTGTTAAAAAAAAGGAAAAAGGTAAGGTAGACGAAAGGCAAGATGGGCCGGGGTTCACTGGTTGGCGCCGCCTGTTTCCTTTGCTTTTCTCCCTTCGTGTGGGTGCGTTGGACTGGTTGGCATTTGGAGGCGCTGCAAGAAGAAGAGTCTGTGAGTGTACAGCGTAAGAGCCAAGTCTAGTCAGATTAGCACTAGGAATTACTCGTGGTCAGCTCACCAATCGATGGCACAAAGCAAACCAGGCAAAAAGAGGCGGAGAAGAATATTCACTTGGGCCAAAAGTTAAAAGGACCTTACCGCATATACGAAGAAAAAGATAAGGCAAACCAGCCAAAAAGAAACGGAGAACTTCCACTCGGGCAAAAGTTAAAAGGACCGTGGCACATACGAAGAAAAAGAGCTCGCAGAAGTAGCGAAAACGAAATAAAATTTTTTTTGTCAAGAATGGGATTCGAACCCATGCCCTTTCGGACCAGTACCTGAAACTGGCGCCTTAGACCAACTCGGCCATCTTGACATCTTACTCGCAAAGTAAAATTATAATATTTGTATGTAAAGGCATGTACTAGTTGTTCCAAACTGCACGGCGCCGGAGTGCAGTGATCTGCGTTGCTGTTTTACTGACGCAAACGAAGACATGTTTCCCGTTGCTCAACCTTGCTCGTAACGTCACACAAATATTTATATTTAGCCGAGGTGCCTTTCACACCATAAACACATACAGATGATCTCGAAGTAACTCTGCCTTACACTCCAAACATGCTTAGCCGACAGGTGCCCAATAAGCTTCACCCTTTTCCCCTTTCTGAATTTTACCATACACAAACGAACCTTAGGCACCACAATTTTGCCAAAGAAAGGGGACATGTACCATAAAAGCATTGCAGGTATTCATTAGAAGTTGGGGAAGTCTATATAAAGTGGTGTGTAAATGATGTGACCTCCCGAACACAGCCTTAGGTCTGGGTGTATTTAGTTCACGTCAAAATTGGAAGTTTAATTGAAATTGAAACGATGTGACGGAAAAGTTGAAATTTTGTGTGTGTATGAAAAGTTTTGATGTGATGGAAAAATTGAAAGTTTGAAGAAAAAATTTGAAACTAAACTCGGCCTGATAGTGTTGTGTATCTGCATTGGGTGATGATGCTCTAACCATTAACCAAACATAGGTACTACTAATAGTAACTAGGAAGGTAGCCCACGCATTCGCGCGGGCATGTATTGTATATTGCGTTTGAAATATATATAAAAACAGAATATCAATTGGCTGACACCTCCCATGTTTAAAATTAATATATTGTTTTTGAATGAGACGGTGAGGCCTCCGCTGTTCATTGTCATTTTGCTTTGATAGTTTTTCCAAGATATTTGTTAGGTTTTCAAATATATAATATTTAATACATCTGTATAAATATTTATCTATGATTTCTTTATTATATAGAAAGAATTTCTATTTAGTTTGTTTGGAAAACGTGTCTAACAAATCAAGCGTACATTAGGAGTAAGGTGTTTTGTCCTCTTTTTTAATAGAACTATTATTGTTAATAAATATGTTATATTTGTACCATCAAGTATTTCTCCTTCTAGTTGGTTTAAGTTCATGTAAGTTGTTACATACTTATATATAAATTAATAAAGACATGTCATATATCTCGCTTCCTTGTGATTTGTATGATCTATACTATCTTTTTCAAAAGAAAATACCTAGTTAACATGAACCCAAAATTTTAAACTTAATAGTAACAAATATGAAATTTCAATGAACTATATACTGCGAATCTTAGTACGGTTTATATGCGTAGATATACGATGGATGTAAGGCCATTAATGTCTAAGCATTGTAAAATTGTTACGAAAATCGAACATTCAATGGTTGGTCCAATTTTAGTGAAATGTAAGAACCAATTTTTTTACGAACTTATTACATTTTCTCTAAACAGTTTAATTTAGTCCCTATTGACATTTTCTATTACTTGCTTTATTTTATATTTTATACCAGTTCAAACTATAGGCTTTATGGATCTTTACAATCATTGTTTTAATTATAAGTATAACAATATTTAGATTAGATATCAGATATATAGCTTGAAATTTATGCATGTGTTAATATTTTTGATTATTTCTGGCTATATAAATAGGAAGGGGTAGAGTGGAGAACTCAAGCCGAGAAGGGAAGGGACGTGTTATGCCGTGTTCTGCGTATGTGTGGGGCGAGGGTGAGTGGAGGGGTGGTTTTTTCTATTTTATCTAAATGATTTAAGTGAAACTGATTATCTATTTTTTGTCACATTTTTTTGTTATTTTTTCTAATTTTTAAGACGTAACACATGGCGGCTTAAGACTTTAAGTGCAAACTGATGGTCAGATGGTTTTTCTTCCAATTTATAAAGTTTTATTTTTATTTAAGACGTAACACGTGACGCCTTAAGTGTGCTCAGAGGATGTACAATGATTTACGGTAATATAATACTTATTTTCATTCTATATTATGGTCTGTGTTAGGTTCATTTTACTTTTATCCATATAGATTTAATTTAATTATTTTGAAGTCATATATGGTGATAAAATCTATATCATTATCTTTCTATAATTTTATAATTGTTCGAATGGCACACAAAAATTAGAAAAATTAATATAGCCCATTTCTTCTCAAAGTCGATATTACAGTGTATATGGGTCTTTAAATGTAAAATAGTCTAAAGACATAAGGTCATCAATATTAGCTGTGTGATTTAGATGTTATAATTGCTTACTTTTTCATAAGTTTTGCTTTCTAACTAACATATTTTGGAAACATTACTAATTGTATATTCATTTTACTTTTATGATTGTAGACCTAATTTACTTATTATGAAGTTATGTATTATGATAAAATATATATTATTATTATTATTATTTTATATTTCTTATAATTGCTTGAATGGCATGCAAAAGTTAGAAAATATAAACCAAAATGATATTTTTTTTCAAAGCTAAATTATAGTGAAATATGGTCTTCAGCTGTAATTTAGTTATGAATAATATAAATAGTTACGTGGATCAGAAATTAGTTGTATGATTTTGAAGCTTAATTGTTTAACACAAAATTATTGCTTATCAAACTAATAAGGCATGAAAATAGGAGAGTGAAAAAGTTGAGAAATGAGTTGAAGGAAGAGGAGGCGTACATACGTACGTTCGTTTTTTAAAAAAACTAACTTATACATATAGACTTAGGTGGGCCCGGGTTTAGGAGTGGAATTTTTTCTTGAAAATTTATCTAATAGTTGTACATATTGGGTCCACCAAATTTAATAAAAATATGTTTGTTATTTTAGATTTTTTAAGAATTTCACTAATTTATTAGAGCATCACATGGCAACTTAGTAGCATTTGTAGGATGTCATATGGTGAATTAGGAGTATTTTTGGGAAGTTTAATGGACTTTTAGACATCTAATCTAATGTTCTAAAACATTGGTCGGGTCCAACAATTTAAATGAAAATCGACGGTAATATTTATGTAAATTTATAGAGTAATATGTTTTATCTTTAAATAATAGAAAATCATATTTTAAATGTCATCAATTTTTTTTCCAATGGTACTAAGTATGTATGCTTTTTGTTTTGCTTATTGATTTTACGGTAATTCTGTGCGTAGTTTTTTTTCTTCTGACGCGAACAGTAGGTATGCTTCGTTAGTTTCTTGAGCGTATGAAGTTTTTTTCCATATATACATAATAAAAAGAATAGCTATATTTATAGCGTCATATTTACATTGTAAGTCCCAAAATTATATATGTAAATCACAAAATTACATACGTAAGTTTCAAAATTACATATGTAATTAGTATGTAATTATAGTGTAAATAGGATGTAATTATAACGTAACTAACGTGTCATCATACATACAGGAAAAATCCGATGCTAATAAAAAAGGTAAAGGATTAATAACGATGATAAAAAAAGGAAAGTTGCATCCTTCGAGCGTTTATCCACAGTATATCAAACCATCAACGGCCAGAGATTCGACTGTTTTCAGAAAAAAAAAACGTGCGACATATATAGCTCATCCGCATAATAAATACGTAACAGAGTAAGGAATTAGTTTTTTTGAAATAAAATACATCTATTCTAATAGTCGAAAATATCGGGTCTAACAATTTAAGTGAAAATTTAATCTAATGGTCTAAAATATTGGGTCCACTAATTTAAGTGAAAATCGACGGTTAGATTTGATAGAGCCACGTGGCAGCCTAGGAGCGATTGTAGGGGTCCTACGTGGCGGCCTGAGAGCGTTTGTAGGAAGTTTAATGGACTTTTAGGGATGCTAATAAAAAAGGTAAAGGATTAATAACGATGATAAAAAAAGGAAAGTTGCATCCTTCGAGCGTTTATCCACAGTATATCAAACCATCCACGGCCAGAGATTCGACTGTTTTCAGAAAAAAAAAACGTGCGACATATATAGCTCATCCGCATAATAAATACGTAACAGAGTAAGGAATTAGTTTCTTTGAAATAAAATACATCTATTCTAATAGTCGAAAATATCGGGTCTAACAATTTAAGTGAAAATTTAATCTAATGGTCTAAAATATTGGGTCCACTAATTTAAGTGAAAATCGACGGTTAGATTTGATAGAGCCACGTGGCAGCCTAGGAGCGATTGTAGGGGTCCTACGTGGCGGCCTGAGAGCGTTTGTAGGAAGTTTAATGGACTTTTAGTATATAATAGATAGATAGATAGATAGATAGATAATAGATAGAAGATAGATAGATAGATAGATAGATAGAAGATAGATAGATAGATAATAGATAATAGATAATAGATAGATAGATATATAGCAATTATGTGCAAGCTTCTCGTTGATTTCGCCGTCGCGGTCGTCGCCGCCGCATCCGTTCGCCGCGAGCATCGGCATGATGCGCACCTTCTTGACGCCGCCGCCGCGCTGGTGGCGAGGCCGCGCCCTCGCCACCAGCGCGTCGCTGGCGCGCACGGCGAGCGCGGCCATGTCGACGCCGGAGAGGGGCCGCCCGAGCATGGACACGGGGAGCAGGAAGTATATCTGCCCCGGCCGGAGTAGCTCGCCGCCGTCGAGGGCGGGGACGTCGACGTCGAAGTAGAGCGCGTCGGAGCTGCACAGGAAGAGCCGGCCGGCATTGCCGCCGAGCACGTCGGATACGCTGACAGGGCAGGAGGCGGCGGCGGCGGCGACCTCCGTCAGCGACCCGTCGGCGGCGATGACCTGTGCCGGCGGCGCCGCCGCCGGCTGATGATGGCGAAGCAACGTGCTGCTCCGGTGATTGCACGAGAGACCTGATCCCATCAACCGATTGTGTACACAAAATGAATGGGTTTTTTTTGGAGTTTGGAATATTGAGAAGAGGAGACCAAAGAAAATGTGGTTTTTATAGAGGAGGCGCCGAAAGTAGGGGAGAGTAGTGGCCGGCTGAAACGAATGGAAATTTCTTTGTTTCTTTCATTTCACCCCCTTTGTTTTTGCTCTATTGTGAACTAATCTTCTGCCTCTTGCCATGGTGACAAATGGCTGCTAGTTTTTCTTCTCCCTCATAGAACAACTTGTATAGTTGTACGAGCAACATATTGCAGTTTTGTACTGGGTGTGTTCATTTGTAATGTGAGGACAATGGTTGCCACTTGATCATTGCAACATTGTTGACAAATAATCCCCGCAAAAAAAAAACATTGTTGACAAATAAGAACCAACGGGAACATTAGCACTTTCTTTAGAAGAATAAATGTTACAGTACTATTTAACGATGGAAATATGTGAAAGCAAGTGTTTCTACTGCAATTAGGAAGCACCAGGTGGAACATAAAATAAGCACATCAACAGTAGTGAATCTTCGTTATAGAATCTGTAAAAATATATAAAGAAAGTAACAAATTTGGTATCTTGCAAACATGGTGAAAAAAAAAGAGTAAAGTCCATCACCGGTCTATAAATTTGTACCGCTGTGTCATCCCGATCCCTAAACTCGCAAATCGACCGTTCAGGTCCTCAAACTTGTTCGACTGTGTCATTCCGGTTCCTAAACTTGCAGATCACTCGTTTAGGGGTTAAAGTCAACTTAGCTAAACTTTTTGAGAGAGAGAAAAAAAAGTCAACCTAGTTATACATAGTAGTACATGTCTACACGTTCTCCTTTGCATCCAGCAGAATACAACAACTGCTCCTCATTTGGTCGGTCGGCCAGATAAACAAGGATTAATTAGTACGGTGCGTTGACATGGCAAATGGGCAACCACTCCCAATTGGCCAAAATCGCCTACGAACAACCGGAACCCCGTGTGCAAAACCAACGCTTTCTCGGGGTTTCCCCCGCAAAATCCGACCAAGCAGAGAGCAGCAGAAGCCAAAAACCACGGGCCGTCGCGTGGGCGCTGACGCCGCGCGCGCGCGCGCGAACGCGGTCTCGTTCGATCGATCGGATATGTGCGCCCGCTTCGTCCGCCACGCGCGCCCAAACCCGCGGGCTGCAGGCGAAGTCCGAGGCATTCAGGCATATTCTATCGGAGATAGGCGTTTGCTTGTTTCAGTCGTCTCACGGTGTATCGTATCATGTCACAAAATTTTCAGACGGATATTAAATTTTGAAAATGTTCTCGCTGATTTTGAAGTTTTCTCTAAGTCCAAACAAATTCATTTTTTCCCCGGAGCTTATCCTGTACTGCGACCCATAGTTATAACTTATAACCTTCAATTTTTTTTGTTCGAGAAACTAAATTAATTTTTGGCAACCATGTATGTAGAGTATAATTGGCAATTGCCCGCGATGTCTTGAAGGAAAAAAGGGAAGGCCCGCAGCTGGTTTTCGAGGAGATGCGGGAGCGCCGGCGCCGGATTATTATTCCGAGATCTCTTGCCGGCGATTTGCCACTCATCAGCTGCACGATACGTACTGTAGTTAGCTATAGGGGAGGTGGTAACTACTAGTGACTAGTGATCGATCGAGCTAGGTCTGGCTGGAAATCACTTCGCAAAACCGTGTGCCCCCGCCGCTAGAAACCAGCCGAAGAAGTGGAAGTTAAAGCGCAATAACCAAAAAAAAAAAAGGTTTTCATCTCAAGTCTCAAGCGGTGGCACTGCTCCCACTACGTACTCTACGAATACTAGTCACGGAACGTGCTACGACTAGTGGTTGCAAACGAGGAGAGATCACCTGTGTTTAGGACAGAATCGTGTGTGAGCCGTAGTGGTAGGACGACCTGGACTTCATCCTCGGCCGCATTTTTTTTCTTTTATACTTATGTTTATTAGTAAAAGAAAATCTTAATTTTCGACTTAAAATTTAAAGCTGATTTTACGATTTTTTTATCCAAGTTTATTTTTCAGCTTTTACCTTTAAATCACTAATAACACATATATAAAAAAAATTATTTTTATTTTATAAATACATCGTTTGGCTTATTTCGATGGGGCTACTGTTATTTGCTTGTGCACGCATGCAGTCAAGCATGGGGCCTTCTGATGCGGCCAGATTGATTCACATGTGTGTTTGTCTGTCTCCGTCCGTCCGTTTGGTTGGTTGGTTGGTTGACTGGCTGCAGGTACGGTGGTTACACTACACATGCCGTCGACGAAAACGAAGATTATTTCTCGTGCTCCTCGTGCGTTTCCACGTTTCGTTTATCAGCTCGATCGATCATGCACCCACAGTAAACGAAGCTAACCGTTCCAGAAGCGAAGACGAGAGGACTGGACCGTACGTACGTGCACGCAGTCATATCTAATCCAATCCTACTATAGATATGATATGATATGGGCACGAGCTGTACGTACGGCAGCATGTACCTTGGACTGAGCCTGATCGTCTTTTCCGTTTCACACCTGGCGTCTGGTAGTAGTACACCCGTACTGTCGAGTCGTGTGTTGTCTCACTTGCGTTTTTGGTCACAAACAATCAGCTGCAAGGGACCATATGTTCATTCGCTCATGGTCAGCTTCATTATATTGACCGCTCAGTTTAACGGTTCCGATTTGTGATTAGTGTTCGAAGCATCGATCCTTTTAGACTGCATGTGTTCTTTCGACGAGTTGAAAACACTTCTACCCTCGCAAGTACTTCCTCCGTTTAACAATGTAAAACGTTCTAGCATTGCTTATATTTATTTAGATGTTAACGAATCTAGACATATGTATGTATTTAGATTCATTAACATATATATATATATATATATATGGACAATGCTAAAAAGTCTTACATTGTGAAACGGAGGGAGTAAAACATAGCGATAAATTGACGCATAATTAATCAAGTATTAACTAAAATAATTTAAAAAATATACTATTATGATTTTAAAAGTATTTTTTATAGAAAGTATTTTTTAAAAACATATTGCTTAGTCGTTTGAGAAACATACACATGAATATATAGAGAGAGAGAGAGTAGAAGTTGAGAAATGGGATAAAAGAGAACTCCGTTTAATAACGGTTAGTGGGTTAACTAATCTGATGAGCGACATGTCAACGAAAAAAGATTGGACTCCGTCGCTGTCCGGCAACGGCGACGAGAGACAACAGATCGACGACCATATTTTTGATGATTAGTTTTTTTTCTCTGATCAAAACAAAGTTCGTCACCGCCGCCCGAACTTGATCAATTCCCGTACGTGCCGGCTGCCGGCTGCCCGGCCTCGATCGTCCGCGTCGTCTCCACGCCATTCTTGCAAGACGCGATTAGATTATATTCAACTCGATCTGATCTCCCCAACCCCAAACCACAAGTCAGAATCAGGTTCCAGAATAATAATATTATTATGCGTTGATAGTGATCATTCATCAGTTGCAACCTGATATATATGACCTTTTTCTTTTTTGTTTGTTCAGGTTGACAGACCAAATGTTATCTGCAGCCGCGGTTTGCCTGCCCAGGACGGCGACTTCGTCGGACGGCGGCGGCAGCGGCTGATTCCGCCGGAAGCCGCAGCATTTCGGGCAGGATTGGGGCTCCCTTGGATTGGTCCCTCTGCTATTTCTGTGGCCTTCACGATTTCTTGGACACATCGATCTTGTTAATTAGTAATTGGGATGGTGCTGAGGAACAGTTCAGGGGAGATCATTTTCTCCTCTTGCAGGTTTCTGAATAGTTACCGTGAGGCTTTGGAAACAGAACTTCTAGCTTGTGTGGAAGGAATTGGGTTGGCACTCCAATGGACTTTACTCCCTATCGAAGTTGAGAATGATTGCCTGACGGCGGTTCAACTTGTACAGTCGAAAGACCATGATCGCTCTGCTCTCGCGTACATTGTCAGAGAGATCAAGCGCCTGATACTTGATGAGAGGGAAATTATCATAAAGAAGATACAGAGATCCTAAAATCAAGTTAATCATATGTTAGCATATAAAGCTCGCACCGACCAGCTCTCAAATTTTTGGTCAGGTGACTCTTGTAGCTTTATTTCTCAGCATATATGTAACTATGTAAGGATTTGTTGGTTGAGTAATGTATGGGGCAGCTTAGTTACTCAAAAACTTTTCCTAAAAACATCACATCGAATCTTTGGACATATTTATGGAGCATTAAATATAGATAAAAAGAAAAACTAACTGCACAGTTTGCATGTAAATCGCGAAACGAATCTTTTGAGCCTAATTAGTCTATGATTAGCCATAAGTGATACAATAACCCACATGTGCTAATGATCTTTTGAGCCTAATTAGTTTATGATTAGCCATAAGTGATACAATAACCCACATGTGCTAATGACGGATTAATTAGGCTGAAAAGATTCGTCTCGCGGTTTCCAGACGAATTATGAAATTAGTTTTTTTCATTCGTATCCGAAAACCTCTTCCGACATCCGGTCAAACGTCCGATGTGACACTCAAAACATTTTTATTTCACCAACTAAACATGCTCGATTTTGCTCTTCCCCGCAAAAAAAAAATCTGAAATGAGAAAAGTGAAGCCAGTGACATGCAGTTAATGACCTGGCCACCTGGGGTGTTTTCGGGAGGTTGGGACCGTTGGCCGTTAGGTTTGTTAGCGGTTACTGTTTCCTTTTCCTTTGAAACTGTAGATGGTGATTACTGTAGATGGGATAACGTTCCAAATATATTTTAAGAAATTAATGACAAAACATGTGTAATAGAGACTCTGTTGATATTCAAATTAAGCATGAAGTGGAAAAAGAACGGAGCATCTTTCCCAGCCGTATACTTGCTTAAGCACTTGATTAGCCTCAGCCACCCCTTTAGCTGACCACTATCACATATTCATCATCTTTTTCCATTATAATCCCTCTACTGTGTCATTTCCCTCACTTTCTGCATCAATCAGCCTCTTAAAACCAATCTATCTTATCACCCCTATCACCAATCCTAACCACCACCCGTTTTTCTCACTTATAACATTGGTGCACTGCATCACCACTTCACTATGCTACCTTCCAACAACTCTTAACAGACATGGTGCTTCTTGGCATTCATCTATCTCTAGGAACAGTTTGCTCTCACCCTATCATAAAAAAGCTACCCTTTTTATTTTAAGCGTAGTTATGGGTTTCCATGTCTAATATTTGACCGTTCGTTTTTTTAAAAAAATTATAAAAAATGAAGAAAAAGTCACGCGTAAAGTTTTATTCATGTTTTATCATCTAGTAACAACAAAAGTACCAATCATACAAAAAATTTAAATAAGACGGATAGTCAAACGTTGGAAAAAAAACATATAATTGTATTTAAAATGAGATGGGGGAGTTTATTAATTAGTATAGTATCAACGTTGCCATCATACCACACTGCTACACGGAAGACATATCATCATTATGCTAAACCACTAGAGCATGATTCTCGAGTTGAATCCAACGATGATAAAAATCAAACTTATATAGCAAGAAAACTCTTAGAGGAAACACCATATTTTTTTTTTAGAAATTTTGATATCAATCAGAGACAAAGAATAATGTGTCAGCTCATGGACTCATGAGTCCAAATTACAATGGTATAAACTAATAGATATATTTGTGCGCAAAATATAATTTTTGAAACAGAAAGGCAAAAGCTTTGCCTTATATCTTTGATAGAGAAGATAAAATAACAACAACAACAACCTTCCTAGGAAGGGTAAACACCCGAGCATACAAAATGCAACGATATATATTGATATTTGGAAGCAGAAGATAAGAGTTGTATACAGAATCCAATTCTGCTTTTTTACATCTAAAAAGATAATTTAAGAATTATATATAAAATCTAATTCTATTTTAATTATCTAGCTCCACGTAAAATTACGCAAGATATATAAGTTCTCCATAATTAGATCAAGAATTCAGGCTCACTTCTAATGGGAAAAAATGGGCACATTTAAGAGTAGAAGAAAAATCTTTGACATGTTTACACCTATTTCCACTTGAAAAAAATGATGGCCAAGCCTTACAATCAAAACAGAAAGCGACTCATTTCGCCAAAAAGGAAAAAGAAAATGAAGAAAGTGACTCACAACTAACAAGGCCATATTTCACACAAAAAAGGGCTCAAATTGCACTCCCTGACCGTGTTGGGCCGGCCTGTTCGAGCAGTACCCATGCCTGTCAACTGTCATCAGTCATTACCATCTCCATCGATCTGACCCTAACCAAAAGGATTACTGACGACTGTTATTTTGACTACTCCATCAGATCAGATAACAACACGCACAGAAAGGCAGCTAGCGGCAGGAATTCTGGAGCAAGCAACACTGCAACAAGCTCCCAGAATCTCTGAATCTCTGATCGCTAGCACCATGATCTCGACACATTTGGTTCATCTAACGCAGATGCTAGCTGCTCCGGTCGCCAAGTCGTCCTCCCGGCGCCTTTCTTGTTGGATCAAAACGCTCTTGTTCCTCATTGACAGTGAATTATTTTGGTTCTTTTGTTTGGCTTATACTATATATCATGTTAAGCGCCATTTGTGAGATAAGCCCGGAACTGGTAAGCCGAGCTTTCGCTGACAGTGACAGAGACCCCATTTGTGAGATAAGCATTACAATTGGTTTTATAACTATTTTTTTGAAAGGAGAGTTATATAATACTCTATTCATTCCTTAAATGACTTTACAAATTATTTTTTATATAATGGAAATGTTTTGTATCCCCCGTCTCTGTCGTAAGACACATGGCCAATAAGTCTAATAACTTTCCAACTTTAATGGCTACTAATTTTTTTTTAATAGTTAGACTACTATGAATAAAACATTAATGGAACTTTTATGTACGACACAACATATTTTTTCTATAATACAATATCTTTCCAAGTATGTGTTAATTTTTTTGTAAAAGAAAGAAAAAGACAAGAGGTCGAAATTGAAATGTAAATAGTGACAAGTATATGGAAATAGAGGGAGTATATCTGTATAAGCAGTAGTACGCAGCAAGTTAATACTAATAGACTGAGACTACACTTTTTAAGTTTTCAGGAGTCATGCACTGATGCAAATTGTCGTGCTGTTGCAGAAATGGCCGTGATAAGAGCACATACCGGCACCACTGTTCAGTGTCGCCTCGTTGATGCTCGTTCTAGCTACCACACTGTTTTCTTCGATCGCTTCTGTTCAGGATTAATTGATTCAGTGATTCCTAAGATTTGATACACCTCTTGGTGCTAGTTACTGACACTGATTCCTCGTTGATTCAGTGATTTCTTCGCTGGGTAGAAGCAAGTTCATTAATTGGAATGCAGGAAATTTTTCCATGTGAAATTTTCCTTTGTTCTAAATGAGGCCTCGGAAGCAAAACATGCTTGATCACAGGAAGCAGGGCTGAGAAAACAACATCAGCTGTACACATATACAATGTTGTGAAAAAAATTGAAGTTAAATATATTACAGAGTTGTGGGTGCATAACCACTTCCACTTACAAGAGAGTAATTCAAGCAACTTAATTAAGTCATCCATCATTCTATTTTTTCCCTTATTTTTCCAAGTAAAACATCATACATTGTCTATACAAATTAAGTCCCAGAGGATCAAAGGAGAAACTCTGAAACTTAAAAGTGGAAAACTACACACCACAACGCTAATAAACGCATTGGGTGGTGGGGGCAAACAGCCAAGTATATACTACTACACAAACCGAGATAAATACATGATGCTTATTCCTTTTTCACATATTAATCTCGACCTACCTAAAAACCACTACCTATGTTTCTATCCTCCCTGTGTCTCCCTTTTTCTTGTCTTAACTTAACCTTGTGTCTACATGCATGAAAGCAGGCCATCACCACCATGGCCTTTATAACTTACTCCAGATGACAACATTTGCCAATATATTTCATATGTACACATATATACTTACTTCATGACCTAGATTAATTATTGTGTACACTTGTATATTTTATACAACTATATGTATCAGGCTAGCTGCTAATCAACATATCATATCTAGCTAGTGACCTAACAGTAGCTGATTGGATATCACTTCACTATTTCAGACCTGACACTTGATCATGTACATATATGTGGCTAGCTAGTACTAGCAGTGAACTGGTGATAGCTAGGTTTGGTCACTTTGGCTGAAGAGCTAGTGATATACCCCTTCCGTCCAAAAAAAATTACAATCCTAGCTACGATATGTCTAGAATCGTAGCTAGAGTTTGCTTTTTTTAAGGACAGACTAGTATATGCTGGTGATGGGTGATAATTTTTTTTTTGGTTGGTGTAGTGTGTGAGCTAACCGTAGAAGGGTGCACGGTGGGGGATGCCCTTCCTCCTCGACGGCCGGCACCGGCTGATCGGCGGCGTGGTCGGCGTGATCGGCGCCGTGTTGGACTTGCTGCCCTCGTCGTCGGACCACCGGATCATGCCCCGGTCGAACCGGCCGAGCTGATCGTAGCCGGCCGCCGCCCTCCTCGCCTTCTTGGGGCTGAAGGAGTCGTAGTCGGAGCCGGAGCCGCCGTCGCCGGAGTCCTGCCCGCGCTTCGGCCGGATGGCGAATGTCAGGCTTGGGTCCCACCGCATTCCTCCCAGCTGAACAATGTCAAGCATACATATGCATCAGTGGAAGACTTGGCAGTAAAAACATGTTGCTATTTGAACTGTTAAAATGACTGACACGTGAATGTCTGAATGATCAGTTTTTCATGGACATGTACAGGAGTGGTTTCCAGAGGAAATAATTGATCAATAAGTGAAATGAGTAGACGAAGACTTAATTAGCAGGAAAAACATGGTGCTAATTAAACTGTTAAAATGACTGAAGTGACAGATACGAGATTTTAGACAAGTGAATGTCTGAATGATCAGTTTTTCATGGACACAGGAGTGGTTTTCAGAGGAATAACTGATCAATAAGTGAAATGAGTAGACGAAGACTTAATTAGCAGGGAAAACATGTTGCTAATTAAACTGTTAAAATGACTGAAATGACAGACACGAGATTTTGGACAAGTGAATGTCTGAATGATCAGTTTTTCATGGACACAGGATTGGTTTTCAGAGGATATTAATTGATCATTAAGTGAAATGAGTAGACGAAGACTTAATTAGCAGTAAAAACAGGTGCTAATTAAACTGTTAAAGTGACTGAAATGACAGACACAAGATTTTGGATAAGTGAATGTCTGAATGATCAGTTTTTCATGGACACAGGAATGGTTTTCAGAGGAAATAACTGATCATCAATAAGTGAAATGAGTAGCAGTAAAAACATGGTGCTAATTAAACTGTTAAAATGACTGAAATGACACACAAGATTTTGGACAAGTGAATGTCTGAATGATCAGTTTTTCATGGACGCAGGAGTGGTTTTTCAGAGGAAATAACTGATCAATAAGTGAAATGAGTAGACGAAGACTTAATTAGCGGTAAAAACATGGTTGCTAATTAAACTGCTACAATGGCTGAAATGACCCAAGATTGAACAGGTGAAGGGTACTGAATTTTTCATGGCCACAAGGGTGGCTTTCAGAGGAAGTAATAACTCAAATAAGTGAAGTGTGAGTTGATGAAGACGTGTGAAAAGTCTCATCAGGTAGAGTATTATTGATCCATCCGTTTGTCCTTGCACTAACTGCTCCCAGCCCCATAGCACATCATCTCGTTGTCTCATTGACACTGATGATTAGCTTTCCTATTTTTTCTAGAGCTTGCATAAGTGCCTAGATACCAGGTGTCTCCTGACGCCCTAAAGTTTTCATAAGACAACAATTTGCTAGTAATAAATAGTAGTTTCTTATTAATAAATACTAATACATGCTATGTATATGCATTGTCAGGAGTGAATTTTAAATTCTCGAACGGACATCACCTCGTTATTTACGTATCAATCAAATAGTTATAAAATGTTTTTAATAATGAGACGATAGATTAATATGTGTTATATTACTCTGCAAACAAGCAAGTTAAAACTTAACTTCTAAGGATAAAAAAAACAAATTAAACTTTAACCTTGCATGTTTGTGTAGTGATCTATCACATATAAATCTATCTTGTTAAAAAAATTTCAAATGTTTTCATAACTGACAAACACACAACGCGGGAAAGTCCCCTCGATCTAGAGTTTAGAATTGTTTTGCATGCATTGTTCTCCATGGTTAGATTGCTAGTTCTTATTTGAGATAGAATTGATTTCGTAACAAATTGACGGAAATGATACAGACTAAGAAGTAGAGGTTCCTGATGAAAATGTAGGATCCCCAAGTTAGGGAGAAGATGAAAGAAAGTTAGGGAGAAGTCACTCTCCATTGCCATTTTCCGTATTTTCAGATAAAGGAAGCAACAATTCCCATTTTGCAAAACCTCACAAAGATCAGTTGAATTTGCAACAGTCATCACCATATATCCAATAATCAAAGCTAAAAACAAACACAGAAACCCAGACAAGCACACGACATGGTGATTCGGTAGAACATCACCTCCAAGGCAAGGTCAACTTTATCTGGATAACGCACACGCTTTCCCTCTTACTTTCTTTCTTTTTCATAGGAAAAAAGAGGAGAGGTAAACTGGATATACAATGCATTCTACGAAAGAAGAAGAAGAAGAAGAAGAAGAAGGAGAGAGAGAGAGAGAGAGAGAGAGAGAGAGAGAGAGAGAGAGAGAGAGAGAGAGAGAGAGAGAGAAATGTATTATCGCTGGAAGATCCGGCTATGATGTCTCAAGTCTACCTACTACCTGAAAGCAGCCTTGTCCTAAACAAAAACAGTACTTTAGCTTCAACTTGTAGCTAGGGGGCCACTTTTTTTTTATATAATCCCCATTGCAGCAATTGCAATCAAACGGATAAGCAAAACACATAGCTTTCAAATATATAATTTTTAAAATTTTAATGACCGGGTGATTGACGAATCCCCATTGCAGCAATTTGCAATCAAACGGATAAGCAAAACACATAGCTTTCAAATATATAATTTTTAAAATTTTAATGATTGGGTGATTGACGAATCAACCCATGCTAAATGTAGGACGTACTATGGTTAAAAGGCTAATTAATTAAGTAAACCATGATTTGGAGATGAAGTACATATACAATCCTCTACTAAATGCACTCTTTTCTGGCAATTAAGTTATATACTAAATGCATAATCTTCCATATATGGCTGGCTTGATCTATTTGCAGCAGCAGCAGAAGCAGTCTTGATGGAAATGGACGTACAATGGGCTAAGCCTAAGAATAGGAGATAGATACGGGGCCCCATTTTAGCTGCATTCAACGGCTGCACACGTACCAACACGCCCCAATTTTCAGAGGGCAATAATTGGGACCTACCGATTCCATGGAGAATGTCTCATTAGCTTGTTGCACCCTTCAAGTGCAAAAGGAGATAAAAAGAGAATTAATCAGTGATTTCCTAATAAACTTGCATTACAGTGCAAGCAAGCCCTGGTTTTGCACATTTTGCTGTATCATAAACCTGATTGATAACCTTAGTTTTGTCAGCTCAAAAAGTCAATTGCCAGAATGCCAGAGCAAATGTGGTCTACTCCCTCCGTCCCAAAATAAGTGCAGTTTTGCACTATTCACATTAAATGTTTAACTGTTTGTTTTATTTGAAATTTTTTTATGATTAGTATTTTTATTGCTATTAGATGATAAAACATGAATAATACTTTATGTGTGACTAAATATTTTTAAATTTTTCACAAATTTTTCAAATAAAACGGACGGTCAAACGTTAGGCACGGATATCCACGGCTGCACTTATTTTGGGACGGAGGTAGTACCAGTTATCATCCTAACCAACTAATTTTTCAAAGAAGTAGATATACATACCCCCCCTGGGCTGTCATGTTTGCTAATGACACTTCCAGAGACCTAAATAAACCCAGAGTCAAACCCTACCTATGATATGCTTTGCTGACACATCCCAATGTACTATAATGTACTGTGCCACTCCAAAGAGTCCCCAAGAAGTCGCCACCACTACACCTAGCTCAAGTGCAGACGCAACATACATACATGGTGCAACTGCAATGCAACAGACCAACAGTGTCAATGTGCATGTCATGTTGTGTGTGTGTGTGTGTATATGCCTCTTCCTGCATCAGCATGGTCCCTGCCCCTCTTCAGCTCAGTTGCCGGCCAATGCAGCTAGCCGGTCGCCGGCCGATTCACCGATCTCCGGCAGCCGCCGCCGCCGCCGCTAGTTAGTTTAGTTAGTTAAGTGTGCAAAAGGCAATTGTAGTTAGTTTAGTTGGTTATGTGTGCCAAAAGGCAATTTGGTTATATATTCCGGCCACTTTCTCAATTCTCACATCACAGCAACCGCGTTTGTAATTAACGATTCTACATGGTAGTGTGGACAGAGTGTACATGCATTGCAGCACCACCAGGTGGCCATGGCCCCCACTCACAGATGCCATGGACGACAGAGATCGAGGTGTAGGGTAGCTAGCTAGAGAGAGAAAGAAGAAAGAAGAAGAAGATAGAGAGTGTTAGAGAGAGAAGGTAGCTAGCTAGGGGTACCTTGCAGCCGAGGGAGCAGAAGCGGAAGGAGTCGGGGAGGCTGCGGCAGCAGATCTCGCAGGTGTTGGTGACGCCCTTCCCGGGCCTCGCCTGCGGGCGGCCGTTGAGGAACACGATCTTGGCGCTGTTGATCACGTACGTCTGCACGTGCGATATGTCGATCAGCTTCCCCACCTCCGACACCCTGATCACGTTGTGGTACGACGACCTCCGAATCTGCCATTCAATCGCAATCACAACCACAAATTCATTCGATTCAATTGTTCAAAATCGTCTCGCCGGAGACGAGGAAGAAGAAGACTAGATGGTTATTACCTGGACGACGTGGTGGTCGCGGTGGGCGGGGAGGCAGTAGGCGCAGAGGGCGTCGCCGGTGCAGCCGAGGCAGAAGAGGTTGCACTCGTTCTTGCTCAGCTCCGGGTGCGACGCGCACGCCACAAAGAAGCTCGTCGACAGCAGCGGCCGCAGCCACGGTGGCCCCATGTCCTCCTCCGTCTGCTGCGCCGCCGCCATCGCCTCGCCGCCACCGCCGTCGTCCGGGCTCGTCTCCATCATCCCCACCATCACCTGCACCACGTCTCCATGAACCCAAACACACAACACACAAACAAATTACATCACATCACATCACGCCCAAATTAACCTCTAATTAAACTTTTTTTTAAAATGCAACTAGACCATATACCAATCAAGATTTCAAAGAACACAATTCTAAATCTTACCATGATATACCCCGCCGCCGCCGCCCGTTCTTCCAGAGAGCTTCAGAGAGTTGAAACAAACACCAATTCAAGCAGCTAAGCTAGCTATCGAAGCTAAAGCAAAAGAGGATAAAGAAAAAACAAAGAAGAAATCAATCTTGCAATAATAATGAATTCAACTGAAAGGGTCGTCGTCTACGATGGTGCGAGATGAATGCAGCAACAGGGAGGAGGAAGAAGCAGTATCCATGATGTGATGGCCGGATTGAGAGTTGCCCGGGCCCCCTTCCCCGGGTTAATTAACACCCACTATTTAACGAGATTAAATTGTTACCTGCTCCGAGGGTTAGTAGCTAGCAGAGCTGAAGAACACGAAGAAAGAAGAAGTTGATTGATGAGAAGAGGAGGGAAAAAAAATGGATGGATGTGTCCGTAGATATTGATGGAAATCGATTCGGGCCTTCTGGAATTCGTCTTGATATATTTCAGAGCTTAGCTTTGGAAAGAAGAGGAGAAGAAAAAAAATATATACGTAGAGAGATATATATAGATTTATATCGATCGATCGATCGATGAGGGCCTCCTTTTTCCTTGTCTTTTTATTTGTTTATTTTTCTCTTGACAATGAGAGATGGATTGGGAATAAAACAAAAAATGAGAGAAAAAAAAAACGAAATGAAACGGTGGAGCTGAGACGCCGATGTAAGGCGGTTTGGTTTGTACACCGGAGAGACGTGTCGACGGTTCTTTCCTGCGATAGCTAAAGGTCCCAAAAAAAAAAAAGAAAGGAAGAAATCCTTCTCTCTTTTTTCGATTGCATGCCCATACTTTCGCAAAATTGCCGAAATTCTCTGATCGGTTTCGCCGCCTTTAATTTCCGCCATAAATGATGAAATATATTCTCATATAGAGATATTGATGTTGAAGAATATGATCACTGTACCGCATAGTGTTATTTGTACCTTATGTACTTTTGCTAGTAGCGGAGGGTACATATATGGTCATATACGCGTGGCGAGGCGGAGCGCCGCGTGGAGGAGAAAGGACCGTTTTGTAATACGAGAATTTGTGTGGGGTGTGAGTGTGAAATGAGTGAGAAATGTGGCATGGTGATGACATAGAGAAAAAGGAGAGGGAAAGGGATTCCCACGCTGAGCAATATGGGCCGTCCGATGGGGACTGTGGCTTGTGGAAGATGGCCACCGAGGGGGTGATGCCGACCTTAGTGCTTGATGACGATGGGTTCATTTAATTTCGCCTTTTTCCTTGGGAAATTAGTAATGCATTTTTCAGCAAGATTTTTTTCCCTCTTCTCTTCTTGCTTTGCATATGTTTATTTGTATTTTTATTACTATTATCTTTTTGAATTATTGCATATGTTTCCTTTCATTTGGATAACCTCTTCCAGTTTTTTTTACCACAATAATAACATTAGGGCATCTTGTGGCCCAAGTCAGGGTCCAAGTGGCTGGATGGTGACCATGGCTATTTCTTGCAGGAACACAGCAATTGTACCTGCAGAATGGTTGGATACTAGCTCCTCTTGTTCAGGAAGGAGACATGGTTAAATTCCCAGCATGTTCTAGTATTTGTTACGTGCTTCGCAAACACGGCAAGTCGTAACCTCGTTGACTTAGTTATACATGATCTCCTTCTAGAGCAAGCAATTACAAATCATGTTTTTAAAATGATGTGTTCATCGATTGACATCACATAGTACGTGTCAATGGGAGATTAATAATATGTTTCATCCACTCAAACCTATTCTCTCTCTTCTTGTATGCATGTATTGTTCCCAGAAATATTGTTTTGCATATGCATCTTATTAGGGCTTACATAACTTTTTTTTTTTGCGGGGAATTAGGGCTTACATAACTACAGAGGGTAAAATAAGCTATGAATTATTGTCATGTTATCTAATGTGTATGTCATTTTGTATATATTTATTTTATAACCTATTTCAGTTAGTTGACGTGGAAACCTAGCTATGACACTTGTAGTTGTCCCAACTACTGTATATCGATCATATACGGCATTTCCAAAAAAAAAAATGTGTGGCCTCAATAATTTGCTATTTCATTATAGTATATATATTATTTCAAGACTTCTTAGTACTAAATTGTTGTTTTTATAACCCGTATGTTAGTTGAATATGTGTATAAAGCCTACAACAGGTAGGACTTAGAGTTATAATACTCCCTCCGTTTTAAAATGTTTGACACCGTTGACTTTTAAGTAGTGTTTGACTATTCGTCTTATTCAAAAAATTTAAATAATTATTTATTCTTTTCATATCATTTGATTTATTGTTAAATATACTTTCATGTACACATATAGTTTTACATATTTCATAATTTTTTTAATAAGACGAACAGTCAAACATGTGCTAAAAAGTCAACGGTGTTAAACATTTTGAAACGGAGGGAGTATGATGTATGAATAGAATTAGAGTCAGACTCTATCATAAGCTCTCTTTTAAGCGAGGCAGCTAATGTAAACAACGTAATGATAGTAACATAGGCGTAGGAATGATGGACCTTTCCTTAAATAAAAAGAACGATTGGCTAGCTAGTCAAGGGTCATTGATTCCCTGATATGTAATTATATTATATTGGATTAGAAATAAGTGCCCATAGTCAGTGCCTCTCGGAATGTAAATTTCGACTAAACCTCGTTAACAAATATTATGTCTCGGAGACTCCGTGATGTTTGGGCTTTCTATAGTGTTCTTCCACGTTGCTATTTAGGGGTGCCAGTTTCTTAACATCACATATACTTCCTTTTTTTTCTAAAGTATATTAGAAAGTCAAAAATAAAAGTTTGTAAACTTTGACCACCGGTATATTACAAACATATGAAAAATCCAAAATCCACCATCATTTTTTTAAAAAATCCAACTTCTAAAAAAAATCATAATCTAGAAGCATGACTGTAATAAGAATCAAAAGCAAAAGAGTAAAAAGAAATAAAGCCTCAATTCTAGTGCATATTTGGAATCATGACGAGTGCATAGTGTGCTGCTACTATAAAAGGCTTTCCACTCATAGAACCGGAGCCTAAATTCCACTCTATTAATCTTTCTCCTCCTCTCATTTCTGTCAGCAGAACAGGAAGAGATATTAGGGGGGAGAATCTTCACCGTATCAGGAAGATGAGTCCAAAACTGGAAAAGGTTTTGTGTAACCTGTCACTCCCTTAACCATCTATCCTGAGTGATGTTCCATTTCTCTCTTTTCTCCCTCTTCTTCTGCATATTTTATTTTGCCCATCTCCCTCTGACCTATGTTATGCTATCTTGGACGTCACCAGGATAGACAGCGATCATCGACGGTTCGTTTGGTTCCTTCCTTCCTTTGTTTCTAGCTAGATCAATCTGGATTCCTCTGCGACGTAGAATAATTTATCAAGTGGCATTAGTTTTTCCCTTGAAAAATTTGTACTTCATATACATGTTTCATGTTTTGTAACAGTATGAACATATGGTTTTTAGCCCGTGATAAGTATATACTTATTTCAAGTAGAATGTACTGTAAAAATCCTCTAAAAATTATGTTTGTTTCACTAGTCAATATAAGGGAGAGTTTGGGGTTTGTCCCATCACCATATATTTTTTTATTTTGTTGAATAAATTTATGGATGTGTAGAAACCAGAAGTATAAATTATTTTTATTATCTAAAAATTTAATGCATAATTATATCCAGGAACAAGGAAGGGAGAATGTGTGCATGTACGTCCTTTATGTAATCGAGAAAATCGCAAGCGAATGAAAAGCTTTTGAGAAAACTAAAGAAAAGCAGAGGATTTCTCTAAAGTGTCTGACCGATATAAAGCTACCAAAGTTCACATTTGTCAACATTTCAGGAATTTCAGAGATTCCGGTCCAGAGTTTCAAACAAGATTTCATCCTTGGAAACTGGAAGGAGGATTGTGATCGAAATTACGCTGAAAAATGAAAGGATAGATGCACCATATGTCAAAGAAGACAGGAGCTACCGATCATCGGATCAGAGTAGCTAGTATGATCAAAGCGAGACGCCGGATTCAGACAAGATATCACAACGGCCTCTCCGGCCGCCGGCCACCATAATGCCATTGACGTCGATCCCCATCCAATCATAGAACCCACCGGCGGCGGCCGGTCTTCGCCGGAGTTCGCAGTGACAACTCGGCGAGGCTAGCTTTGCTTAGAACAGAAACACACAAGGTAGGAGAAAGGCGAACTACACTGTTCGTCGACAAGCAATGGCAATTTGGCATCGCATCAGCTGGGTCGCGTGGAGGATTCGCCTTTAAGTTTACACATACATTGCACCGGATCGTTGTTTAACACTTTAACTCCGTGAAAGTTACGCTTATCTACCGGCTAATCCCTCGGATTAATCGTGACCGCCAAGTTAAGGCGCCGCAACGCGCTGCAGTAAAGCACCGATATGTACTCCTCTATTTTTGGCCAAACATTTGCCTTTTTCATCCATAAAGTTGGGGGAAGCTTCCTTAATTAATTAATTCGGTGATTAATTCGGTTTATTTGTAAATCTCAAGATATACGGGTCCAATCTTCGAAGATACTCACAGAAATAGAGGTAAGAGTATGATGTGCGTGTGTTCATAAGGGTAAGCGTACGTGCGTTTATATGAGCGTCTGTGTCTTTATTGTGTTTCGAAAAAAAGGAATTTATTGTGTTTATTAATGTTGTTTTGAAATTCTTTTTTACATTATATGAAACGTCTATAGGTAGTAATGATAGATATAAAATGATGTGAAGACAGAATTTTCCTTCTAAAATTTTTGGCCATTTTTTTTACTGAGATGGAAATGCCATTTTCCGGCAAGGAGCTATATTGGGCCTATTTGGCCCATAATATCAGGAAGAAGAAAATGAGAAAGGCCTAAAGGCCCAAGGTTTTGAGGTTGCAAGGTCAGCACTAACTGTATCCAATTGTGAAAAGATAGAATAAAGGTAGATTATTTCCTCTTCTGAAAAGAAAAGAAAAAGAAAGATGAATCTAGCATCAGAACTACAAACTTTTGAGGAGGATAAGTCATGCATAATGCTGACCATTAACCATGGCTTGCCACCTCATGATTCTACCTTTCTTTTCCCTTGAAGTGACCCTCTTGTCAACTTATTTTTTTGTTTGCATCAGTAGAGACAAGCTGATCTAACAAAGGTCAAGCAGAACAAGTTGAGTTTCCACATTAACAGAAACAGCTTGGTTTGATTTGTCATCCCAAACAAGATTAACACCAGCAAGGCAACAATTATCCTAATCCATGACACACACCCTGTCGCTATCATCTTGATCAAAGTTTCCAAGCCAACAAAGCCGGCCGTAATCACTGAAGGAAGCCATAAACCGGCACCTCGTCTGACAGCGATGTCTATGCGATTATGCTTATGTGTACATAAGCCTGACAATCCCTTAAAATAGCTTAAAATTTCTCAGCCATAGAAAGATATATGAGTACGTGTTGCAGAAATTGTTTGAGTTTTGTGGAGATTATCACTATCCATGCTTATACAGTTGCATCAGGTGACCGGATATATATCGTCTCTGATAGATGCTGTTCACTTTGTACATTCACTTTGGGTGTAGATGTCGGGTTTTAATTTATCTTTATTTCAAACAAAACCATATCTGATGAAGGGGATGCATTGAATTAATTAATTCCATCATAAAAAGAAATGTTGTTGCATTACAATTGAATTATTAGCTATCCATTTGTCCGGACTTACACATAGCGATCAGCTGATATCATGTCTAACAATGTTGTTCTTTCTCCGTAGTGATGAAGCAATCAGGCTAGAAATGAATGCTTATGCGTACGAACAAATGTGCGTGAATTCTCCCTAAAAGATGTACTACTACTAATATATATTTTCACCGGTAGATTAGTTAGCCTACCTAACCTGGGACCCACAAAATGTACATGGATGAATTTACCAGCGAAGTATTACTATGTACTTATGTGTTACAGCTCATTGCAATCATAGTTTACAAGTGAGAAAGTAATCTGTTCTTGTGTGTAACAGCTCATTATAATCCTAATTTACCAGTGAAGTAATCTGTTCTTGTGTGTTAACAGCTCATTGTTGCAGTTATCCTCAGCATTGCTGTCAATCATGGGCCGTCTTTGCTGAAGCTGAAAGGATGGCTTTCTACCAACATTAGGCAATGCTCCAAGATTAAAAGGAGAGAAAGAGATTAGCTAAAAAGAAAGGTTTATGGCTAACAGTAGTACATGATCGCTATGCATTATGGTCATATCTTAGCGTTGCTGTACATTCGTGCGAAAAGGAAGGGAAACATGTGCAATGGCATCATCACAAATGGTGGATGCTCCTGGATTATTCCTTGCAATCATCCATGCATCTTCATCACTGGAGCTCATACCGATGTTAAAATATGTTATCATAAAATTGGGATGCAGGATCCGCTGTGGAGTCCATGATCGACAGAGCTCCTGGTTTCCAGATATATGATCTCTAAATATAATAATAATAATTACTCGGGAGAGAGAATTTTGCACCTTATCAGCAATATGTTCGCACATTTTCTCACTACCTCAAAATACCACCCTTTCTCTTTACTCACTTTAGATGGGACCAGCACACTTCATTTTCAAAATCCTATCTTTGAGCCTAGTTGTCCCGTGAAATTTGGGGTCCTAAAATCCTAACCGAGCCCTAAACTAAAGTGACAATAAAATAACAATATTTTATACGAGACTACGATATATTACAAAGCAATGTAAAACAAAACAGAGAAACACCCGGGGGTCTTCTGGCTAGCTACACAAGATGGCGGGCTAGCCGATCTGAACTCAAAGCCTCACCCCTTCTAATTATTTGATTTTAGACCATTCCCTAATATTTGTATTTTTTTTCTGATTGACGAAGCCCACCAAGCTACTTAGGCTTGCTGAGCTTGCATATACCAATTGTACGCAATCCAAGTTGGGAGCCCTATACACTCACATACTGCGCACCCCTTTAGCAGTAACAATGTACCGCATAATTTACAAAGGAAAAAGTACGAATTACCCCCCTCCGAACTATCATGGTCGTCCGAATTATCCCCCTGAACCACAAAACCGGACATTCTTCACCCCCAACTATGCAAACCGGACGAATTACCCCCCTCGACCCAATCCACGGTGGTTTTGGCCAACGAGACGTACACGTGGCAATACAATCAGCATTTTATTTTATTTTTAATGGTGGGACCCACATGTCAGACCCCTCTTTCTCTCTTGCTCCCTCTCTCTCTTTCTCTCTCTCTACGCACGGGGAGATGAAGGGGATGGGGGAGAGGCGGGCGCCAGCGGGTCGATGAGCTCGGCCGGCTCCTGTGGCAGAGGCAGCGGCGGCGGCGCCGTCCACGGCGGGACGTGGAGCAAGGCGACGGCGCGACGTGGAGCAAGGCAGCAGCGGCCACCTCCTTCCCCACCGTCGCGGCAGCGCGGAGCTCGGACACGCCGGCACTACGGCGGCCGCCCCTTCCCCGCGCGCCGCCGTCCATCATAGTTGCCGCCCCGCCGTCGACGCGTAGCCGTGCGCCCACAGGACCTCATGCGCCGCCTCCACCGCAGTTGCCGCTGCCGCTGCCCCGTCCCGACCCGACGAGCGGGAACGGCCTCCTCCTCCTCTTCTCCCCCACTCCTCCTCTCCCCTCTCCTCTCCCGGCAAGGTGGATTGCGCAACCGTGCGGATCTGACGGTAGTGGGGAGGTGCGGTGGCCGTCGCCCGTGCGGATCTGACGACGGTCGTCCCCCGTGTGGCGCTGGCGGATTTGGTCACGGGAACGGCCTCCTCCTCCTCCGCCGCTGCCTCCCTCTTCCGCCTCTCTTGCTCCTCCTCCCCATCCTCCTCCCGACGCCGCTCCAGCTCCCAACGCGCGCCTCCGTCTGCCGTCCCCCGTCCTCCCCCCGACGCTTCCGGCCATGGCCGCCGACGCCCGCCTCTCCCCCATCCCCTCCACCTCCCGGCGCGCCGACAGCCGGCCTGCCCCCGCGCCGCCGCCCATCGCCCTTCCCCGCGCAGCGCCATGCGTGCCGGCCGCCGGCATGCGCGCCGCTGCCGCTGACCGATGAAAGAAGGGTCTGACATGTGGGTCCTACCATTAAAAATAAAATAAAATGCTGACTGGATTGCCATGTGTACGCCACGTAGGCCAAAACCACCGCGGATTGGGTCGAGGGGGGGGTAATTCGTCCGGTTTGCATAGTTGGGGGGTGAAGAATATCCGGTTTTGTGGTTCAGGGGGGTAATTCGGACGACCGCGATAGTTTGGAGGTGGGTAATTCGTACTTTTTCCTTTACAAAACCGACGGAAACTGCTTGGGTTTTGCAAAAACTTAAGGTTTCATGCCGGCTGAAACGAAACACTCGGTAGACCGATCAAGTTAAAAAAATCAATTAAATTTATATTTTCGATAAAATTTGGCCAAATTTCACCTGTAGTCAATGGTTTCGCCTGGAAACTACTCCGGGCCTAATCTTGACGGCATTCCGGTTCTCTGAAACCTGGTCTTTGTAGGAAGACTTTTGTCCTGTATCTAATGGCATGTATTGTGATACAGATGTAGTAGTAGTCAATTTTGACCTATTCAAATCGATTTCTCAAAAATCCTGGTTGGATTTGCATAAATACTCCGCGACTCACTGACAGATGGCCCCACAACGAGCTATACTCCTACAGAGGCCATTTGTCAATGGACCCAGCAACGGGTGGACCTCGAGCCCAAAGCCCATGGCGACCCGTTCCTCCCTTTTTTCACGAGCGTAAAAACGGTTGCGTTTCTGGAAGTTTCCGACGGTTACAAATCCGCAACGGCTTCCGTCCGGCATGGCGAGAGGTGGGCCCCACAAGGGATCACAAGCGGCCTGTGCGCATGCCACTGTCTCATTCTTTCTCCCCCTTTTTGCTTGAGATCCTCACCTTTGTTTTTTGGTTTTCTTTTCCTTGAATTTTTTTAAGATGGGTCTTCAGCTTTTGCTACTAGAACAAGCAAAAAGGTCCCCAAGCAAAATCCAGTGTACCGGCTGGGATCATGCTTTGATGCTTCCTAAACAGGATTAGATTGTAGCCTGAGAAAAAAAATACAGTAGCGATTTATACAGATACAGACACAGGCACAAGAATGATTGGTCAGGTCCACCTAGTAATACTAGTGTTACTACTTTGCTTTGAATAGCGGAATGATTTGTGATAATTATTTGAGGATACAAGTGCATTGATAAAATATTATTAAGTTAAAAAATGGGTTCATATTATAGAAGTGCACACATTTATCCGTCATTTCTATATTCTTCTAGTAGTAAGAACACACCCGTATAGATAACATTTGACAGCTTCAGCACTAAGAGAATCTCTCCAGTTCAGGGTTCAGGCCTGGTGTTATGCAGAAGACAGTAGGCAAGGGGTATTTGGATGTTTGTAGCATGGGGAATAGTTGGGCTGAGCTGGTATCTTGGGGCAAGCCATTGCCCCTGCCAGTCTGCTACTGCTACAAGTGTATTTTCTACACAGACACCAAAGGTAACAGCATTTTTTTCTGGCTACAATTGAAGTGAGTTGAACTCATCTGGGTGGTCAGTACTCAGATTTGTCGGTTTTGTTAGTACCTGAGTAAGCTTCAGTCTTCAGAATTCCAGAGATAAAAGGATGCTACTTAAGATGTTCTAGTTATCTACTAGTATAACTGAATGTAGAACTAACTGCACTGTCGTGACTCCAATTATCACCAACTGGAAATCCAGGTTTGTTGTGGTTTTTCATGGGAAGATTATTTTTCATGCAGCAAGAAACTGAAATGGAATAGGCAGGAGGGGCCCAACATGAACATTGCAATATAATCTATGGCAGACAAGTGGGAAGAGTTCTTTGTAATTTCATCTGGAGATGTGCAGTCCATGACACTGGAGCCTGGAACAGTAATTCTTCACTGCTGAAGTGCATTCCTGCTTCATCTACCTAGCACTACTCTACTAAAATTCCAAACGGAAAAATTTATAGCAGGTAGCCAGGGGTGCCATTTGGTCCTACTGCTATTGGTTGGATGCATTAGGCTGTTGTGCAGATAAATGGCATGCCAATTAATGTAGAGATTGCCACACAGAGTATTCACTATCAAAGACCCAAGAGCATAGACATTGCTCAGTTCATCACTAGTTGTTATAAAGTATAAACTGCCTCATCAGGTGATAGAGAATCATTTTCCCCTTAAACCGGATGGATAACATGAAGACTGAAAAAGATGAAGTCACAAGAAGATTCCCAAAAATACGCGAGCGAGGATGAACCCTAACTAATAACTAGACAATTAAGCCTTGATGCGACATTATACCAAAATGACATAAAGCTTCAACCGAAAATTCCTAATCACTGTTAACATCCCAAAATCTGGCATGAGAATTTGTCTCACTAAACAGTGAAGAAAACAGCAATGCCATGACAAGGAAGGCAGCAGCTGGAGACAACACCACAAAGTCCACAGCAGCATGCTATAGGCCAAAGTCACCTTCCCCAATCATACAACCCACGCCCATATCCCGGTCCCCTATTCATTTTCTGCCTTTCTAGCTACAAGACTATAACATCACTCAATAACTTTAGGGCCACAGGGACTTCAAAATCATGTAGATTTGATTACTTCACGCCTACAAATTGTTTTAGTTTGAGAAACTGTTGCTTTTTTTATGTTTATGCATTAACTTTTGGGTCTACCAAAATGAGGTGAAAAGTGCCATTTGAAAATGCTGCAAATGGTCGTTTGATATTTTGGAAGTGCATAATGAACCAAGTCTGTCGTCATATAAATTTCTTATGCGATTGTATCTTTGAGTGAATGGAATACACTTTATATATCATAAATAAAACAATGAGATTTACAGTGATGAGATGTCTGTTTACAAAATCTTCACCTTTGCAGAAACTGAATTGTAGTGGCGCATAAACATCCATTCGTTTGGGGTTGCAGCTTCACTTTTAATTCACATCTCTGTCAGCTCAGAGGGGTCCAAATCATAGGTTATCTGTTCAGCTGATCACATCATGCCGTTGCTAATCCTCACGAGTGGACAGCAGCAATACTATACATCTGTTCATTCTCTGGTGGTCGATCATGGCACATTCACACTCGCACATCACCAATGGTCTTCCTCTCGAATTCCCGCACTGTGTCGGCTATGCGCTTCATGCTGTCATCGTAGTACCAGGGCGTCTTCTCGGACCAGATTAATCCACCATTGGGTGGAATGGGCACAAACTCGCGGCATACCTCGCCAATCACATTGATGGTATTGTGGTAGTGGTAGTATCGGATGAGGTGCTCCGTTTTGTGCGTGGTGTTCCCGATAACATTCTCCGACATATGAACTCCAGTAGCATATGCATTCTTGGCCTGAATTGCATACTTCCGGTCACGCCTTACCCCAGTGATTGAATTCCGGAAAACCAACTTCTCAAATCCCCATTCACTGAACAAGTTTTCAGAAAAGAAAAATTAGTCTTCCAAGAATAACCATAGCCAAATGTTACAAAAGCAATGCAACCAAGACTGTAAAACACATTGCAGGATGCAGCAGCGACATTGCGAGAAGTATCCTACATTAATTAAACATGACATCAAATATCCATTTTATCACTTATGATTCGTTGTCAACTCAAAACGCAAACCACAAAGAAGAAGCTGCATTGCAATTTGCAAGATTCAGGCCCCAGTTCGCTTGCATTAGTGTGCCATTCCAACGACACAGAGATTTCAGGAGTAATCCCTACTTGGCCCTTTTGGTCAGTAAACAATGGAAAAAGAAGCAGCATTGCAATCCAACTTCCTAATTTGACAATTCCAGTTCAAACTATAGCAATTTTGAATAATGCAATGTTTATGAAAGTAAAAGAGGCAATCTTTTCAGCAAAAGAACATATTTTGGGCGAAGAAAATTGTCACCTACTTTGAGTAGTCCGTCTCCGGTTCGTCGGGGTTCCGTGCACATAACCTGCTCGACATGGGGTTCTGCTCGATGGTGAACTGCGTGTAGGGCTCGAGCTCGGCGAGGACGGCCTCGAGCGAGCGCCCGTCGGGCAAGAAGATGTACTCGTCGACGTCGAAGAAGAAGGTCCACCTGGCGGCGTGCCTGTACCGGTGCAGGCAGTCGTTGACGACGAGGAACTGGTTGTAGTACCAGCCGTCGTACTCGGCCTGGGCGCGCACGTCCTGCAGCGTGGCGCGGCCGGCGCGCACCCACGGCTCCAGCGCGGCGCGCACGGCGGGGCTCACGCCGCCGGCGTCGTGGAAGACGAAGTGGGAGCGCAGGCCGAAGAAGCGCGCGTGGTACGCCATCCACTCCCGCACGCGCGCCGCGCTGAGGTTCCCGTACAGCGACGAGCCGCAGTAGAGGTAGTCGTACCTGTGCGGCGGCCGGAACTCGGCCGCGTCGTACGCGCCCGGCGCCTCCTCCATCGCCACGATCCGCTCGTACCGCGCCGGGGAGGCGCCGTAGTAGGCGTTCAGCACGAGCTTCCCGCCGGCGTTGTCGGCGTTGGGCACCCGCGCGAACGTGCAGTTCACCACCACGACGGTGTACACCCGGCCGTAGCCCCAGTCCGGGAGCATGTGGTACGTGTTCGCGGCGCGCATCGGCCGCGCCGCCGCCGCCGCCGCCGAGCCATTGGCGTTCGGCACCCACTCGCAGCGGAACCACGGCTTGCCATACACGTGCGTCGGCTTCGACGCGAGGCCGATGACGGCGAAGGTGTACGGCCCGCCGCGGTACGCGCCCATCTGGACGAACAGCGCCGCCGCGCTGCCCACCGCGCGGAACTCCCGCCTGTTGGGATCGGCCGCCGCCGCCGCCGCCACCGGCTTCTTGTTCCCCACCTCCGGCAGCGAGGCGGGCGGCCCACCAGGGTCGGAGGAGACACTCGCATTGCCGCTCGACGCCACGGTGCGCACGGCGAGCGCGCGGGGCGGCGAGAGCGCGGCCGGGTCGGCGCAGACGGGGAATGGGGAAGGGAGGACGGAGCTGTAGGAGCGGAGCTGCCACGCGGCGGTGATGAGCGTGAGCACGGTGAGCGCGGCGAGGAACGGCTTGAGGTCGAAGCAGAGGAGCGCGGGCGCCGGCCCGGCCGCAATGCCGCCGCCGCCGCCGCCGCCAGCGGCCGCGTCCTTCCGCATCCTCGCCGCCGCCCAAGCTAGCGAGCGAGAGTGAGGGGGAGTGTGAGTGTGAGTGAGAGGAGTAGTAGTGAGGATTACGCGAGCCGCAGGCAGCAGCGACCTTTCCATTGGGTTTGGGTTGGTAAATTCGCTGCTTTTTTTGGGACGAAAGGTGAAAGCTTCCTGGCAGGAATTGATGGCTGCTATCCACTCTCTTTCTCTCTCCTCGGCTTGGAATGTTTCTCTGGCTTAGCCTCCTTAATTAACGGAAGCTACTAGGCTCATCATTTGGATTACCGTAAACAAACAACAAACCTGAGCCTGAACGCCAGAGACCTTTGTAAGATCTTGTACTATTGTGTTACTTATACTAGTTGTACGGTATTTTGCGTAACTGCGTAAACAACCGAACCGAGCCGAATGCGTTGAGAGTTGGTGGTATCTTGTGTGTACTTTGTGGGGGTTGGGGGGGTGTTAGAGCAAGATTAATAGTATAGCCAACTACTAGCTCCAATTTATTTATAATTAATCTAATAACTTATTCATACAATAGGTACATACTATACTATTAATATCTGGTCCCACCTGTCATACACATATTGCGTCTTGAAGTCCGTGCTACAGCTGGCTATAAATCTGTAGCCCGTTGCTCTTCTCTCTCCTTATTTATCTTCTTAAAATATGTTTGTAGTTGGTTTATAGCCTGCTATTGTACCTGCTCTTAATGATGTTGTAACCAAGCCTTAATGCGCCTTAATACGGGTCACATTAGGTAGAGTAGCGTTTGTTTGCAACCTACCTGGGGTGTAATTGCCGAACTGTAGCTTAGAACCAAACCAGCTTTCGGTGCAACGACGCCCCCCAATTTAAAGTGCGGCACTGTTCGCAGGTCGCCCCCCTGCAGTAGTAGTAGTCGTACTCCTCGTCCGCACGACGCCCTCGCCACGAGCGACGTGATGGGTCAGCAGCGCGTCGCGTCGCGGGCGCGGCGCGCCACCAACACAGGTGTCCGCGAGGACGACCGGGGGCACGCGTCGCACGTGCGACCTGCGGCGTGTGCTGCGGCTGCGGCCGATCGCTGCGGCGGCGTCCGGACAGTTGGTGAGCTCGCGCTTCCCACCCCCCCCCCCCCTAAAATTGGAAAATTGAAACGATGTGAAAAAAAAGTTGAAAGTTTGTGTGTACGAAAGTTTTGATGTGATGGAAAAATTAGAAGTTTGAAGCCATAGGCAAGGGCAGAATTAGGCATTCGGCAGCTAGGACTTGAGTCCCATGCCTAGCTCCATAATCCCCATTATAATATTAAAAAATACTATATAATTTATGAAAATATTTAAGATCCCATTAGTTTAGCCCTATGCGTGAAAATTTTCTAGCTCCGCCACACTGGACCTAAGTAGGAATATTGTAGGATGATGGAGCTTGGCAGTTGGGTCAAAAGAGGGGGCGGGTCTCGTTTGGGTGGAACGGCCGGGCACGGCCAACCGCCTGCATGATGGATCGTCACTCAATTGAACCGGCTCAAAGTCAGTTAGAGCGTTTGTTCGTATGGTTAATGAAGGGATGTGCCTAGTGGCTACCACTTCATATATAATAGATACTATCCACATATACTTTAAATACAATTTTCTCTAAAACTGCTCATTCGATCTACGATCCGATTACACCGTTGTATTCGTAACAATTAAATCTTTATAACAAGACCTCACATGATTATATTTTGATGAAAAAATATATATTACTTTTATAATATATATAAATTACTTTTAGATTTCACTAAGTTACTTCTTAGACATATAAAGTAATTCATTAAAGCCTAAAAGTAATTTACATATAATATAGAAGTAACTTGTAACAAAAAGAAAGTAACTTCTATAATATATGTTAATTACTTTAAAACTTTATTGAATTTACTTTTATATGTTTAAGAAGTAACTTAGTGAAATCTAAAAGTAATTTAGTATATTATAAAAGTAATTTGTGATTTTTTATCAAAATATAATTATGTGAGATCTTGTTGTAAAGATTTAATTGTTATGAACACAACGGTGTAATTGGATCGTAAATCGGATGAGTAGTTTAAGAGAAAATTGTATTTGAAGCATAGATAGTAGGAATATTTTTTCTAATTGCTTAATCAATTAGTACTATAGTAAAGGAAGATTCTTCAAGACACATATTTGGACAATGGCTGATCGTATCTCGTATCTGGACAATGGCTAGCGTCACTCGTTATGACTAAATCGGTTTATTCTCAAAATAATTTTTTAAGGGTAATTACTAAGCCCCAACATACTTGTTAGGTCATCTCCAATGCTTGGAACAAAACCAACCTCTCCATTAACGCAAAATCTTAGATTTTGCGTTAATGGAGAGGTTGGTTTTGTTCCAAGTGGCTCGATTTAGATTTTGCGTTAATGGAGAGGTTGGTTTTGTTCCAAGCATTGGAGATGACCTAACAAGTATGTTGGGGCTTAGTAATTACCCTTAAAAAAATTATTTTGAGAATAAACCCTTTTCACGATACCAGCGTCCTTGACGTGTGGTTCAACATAATTGCGTCAATAACATTGGCGCCGTTCCCCTAGCCTCCCGCGGAAAAAAAAATATTTACTAAGTCACTTATATGAAGGGTGGCGGCAACAATGTCATTGATGCTAAGGACTTATTTGTAAAAGAATTAAAAAAGGACCTGTGTGCTAAAAAAATATTTATAAATAGATCCTAAGGCTAGTGTAATTAGCGTTGGGGACTTATTTATAAATATTTTTATACAAATAGGTCATTTTTAATTACAAACATGTTATTTTAAAAAATAACAAATATGTTATGAATGACAATAATGTTGCCGTCATCCTCTTCGTATAGGTGGCTTAGCTTCTGTGAGGAGGCTAGGAGGGCGCTAGTGTCATCGGCACCATTATGTTGGATGACAGCGTCAATGATGCTGGTGTCGCGAAAAGGATCTATTTCCCAATAAGAATTTTTTAAGGTCTATCTTGTAAAATAAGTTTTCAAAAGGGTATAAAATGTAAAAAAAAATGAAGTCCGGTATGTACCGTGTACGCGTACGCGAGCTGGATTTGATAGCCCAACGACTGGCTATCTCGATAGGTCCGTCAGTCCGTGCGAGAAAAATGCCAATTTGTGTATGCATCTCACATTGTCGATCAGCTAGCTATACAGTACACATACACATACCCTCATGTGGTAAATCCTGCGTTTGGTTAATTTGTTGTGCGCTGCCAAGTCACATTCGTAGGCGAAGACATTTATTTCAGACTTTCAGGCCGTTTAACTATCAAGAACGCTTGTCTGTACCAAAGATTTTCAGCAAACGGCGGCCATTTTGTATTTTTGTTAGCTCATGTCATGTACCTCTCATTTAGCTCCAATTGCCTATCCATCACACCAAGTCGATCTAATCTACGAATTTTTTTTATTTTTAATTTTTTTTATTAAAAGTTTTACAAAAATAATTTTTCATTTTGAAAATTGATAGAAGTGGTCGCCTACCGCCCTCTGGGAGGGCGATTTTTAAAAATCGCCATCCCAGAGGGCGGCGAAAGTGACGTGGCAGACGGCCGTTCGCTCTCGGGCGACGGCCGTCAACGAAATTTGTAGGCGGCCCCCTTGCCGCCCTCCGCTAGGGCGATTTTGTACTGTGCGGGGGGCCGCCTGCAAATGGGCGGCGGGGGGCCTGGAATTTTGCAGGCAGCCTCCTTGCCGCCCTGGGGGAGGGCGAATTTATACTGTGCTTTATATTTTTGTATAAATATCAATAGTTATCAAATCTTTTTATATTGAAAACTATACAAGATTAAAATCTCCAAGACTGGTAAAATACAATTTTATTATTTTTTAGGGCCTATTTGGAATGTTACCGTACAAATATTTTGTTAGTGCCAAAATATAAGCAAGTTTTGGCACTACCAAATATTTGGTAAGGTAAAATTGCATTTGATCATATTTGGTTTGCTGCCAAAATGTAAAATTGTAGTGAAGAATGTTCTACATAATCTCAAATCTAGATTACGTATTACCAATGAATAGGCTTCAATCGAAATCAAACACAAGTACTATTCAAATTACCAAAATATTGGTAGGGCATGTTTTTGGTAGCAATCCAAATAGGCCCTTAGTCTTACGCATACAAAAAATCACCACCATAATTAAACATTGTAATGATAAGATAGATAAGAAGTGCCATCGATACACGGTACAAATTTGTCGATCCCGACGAATCAAGCATGCGGTAACCTATCGGCACCTTCTAGGTCGGTCAGAATGCATTGCATTCTCGTGGTCCTTCAATCGTTGATACTCTACTTGTGTTTCTGACTCTGTTATCTTCTGGCCATGATATGATGGAGTGACATTGTCGATCCATCGAGTAAATCCACCCATCCTTGGATTGCCCTGTAAAAATAGTAATGTTATTCAGTTTGGGTAGTAATTTTGTGCAAATCATAGCGGATTTTGTAAATGGTTAGACATACAACGAAATCGTTGTCTACATTGGGGCAGACAAAATATCTCCTTCGAAATGTTTGTTCAGCAAAGGATGTAGCCACCTGCCAGCGATCTCTGCACCCACACTTTGGACGCTCGGACCATTTAGGTAACCCTAATGGATTGTTCCTCCAGTCTAAGCTTGCAATTTCCACCCGACGTTCGTACTCCATCCAAGCATGAATGAACTGTATGGTCGGTTCAGGTTGCGTTATCGGCCCGCCACTTGAAGTAACTCTGACTGTGTCAATCCATTGTACGAATTGACATTTCCTTACATCCTCCTATGTACATCCATTTTGGGATAGTTAAGTTAATGATAGTACTGAGGAGTGATGAAAAGAATAGTTGTAATTACCACGAAATCATCGTCGATAATGTTTGGACACACGAAACACCTTTGTCCTCGAGTTCGGTGCCTTATGGACCTTATGACCTGACAACGGTCACCACAACGACACTCCGGACGCTCACGCCACGTGGGGAGTCCTAGGGGATTTACGTGCCATTCTAAAGCCTCAGCAGCAATTCGACGTTCATGCTCATCCTTCCACCTTAGGTAGTCCGATCTTATTTCACTACGTGGGTAAGCACGGGTTCCGTCGTTTTGTGGGTTCTCCATGTCTACCCACTCGATGAAGTTGCACATTGGACGATATGTCTGCGTAAGATGTTACAATTGTGTACGAAGAAGTTAGTTTTTTTATCCATTTGAACTTCGAATAGATGAAGTATACCTGATCAAAGTTCGCGCATTGGAAGAATCTCCTGCC